CAGAGGCTCCACAGGAGACGGACTTACAAGCTTTCTATGGTGGTGTTTCTGGCTATTCCCTTCTCTTCCCCTCAAGTGTCTGTTTTACAATGGTATGCAAGGGAAACCGAGATTCAAAAGACAGCCAAGTATCTTAACATTATTTCCTCTCTTTTACCCATCACAACCATGTCTCAATTCCTGTATCCCAGATGTTATTGTCAAGTGCAGTTGATTTGGTTCCAACTCATAGCCACCCTGCATAGGAATTCCTAGGAGCAGTTAGTGACTTTGAACTGCCAACCTTGAGATTCACAATCTAGTGCTGATCCTATAGAATCACACAGTAGTCTATATATGTTGTTTTGTCATCATTAAGTTCCATTGAGTTCATTCCAACCCATAGCAGCCCTGTATAGGGTTTCTGAGGAGTGTCTGGTGAGCTTGAACCACCAACCTTGAGATTCAAACCAACTTTGCAGTCCAACACATTAACCCACAACACCACGCCAGATCTCCATATATAAATACTGATACACACATACATGCACATTACATAATTATATATGAAGGGACTTCAAAAGTTCATGGGAAAATTCCATTATCTTTTTATGCCTGTTTTTCCATGAGCATTTGAAGTGCCCTCATATATATAAAATTCTCTTATTTTTTTTGTTCCCAAAAAGAGATGAAATATAAGATGTATTATAAGCACTCAGTAGTAAAGTAGCAAATTAATTTAGAACAGAATTTCATTAACTAACACTTATCTTACATTTTGCCAGGAGAATTCTTTTTTTTTTCTTTTTTAAAGCATTTTGCAAAATATACAATAGGCTTCAAAAAGTTCTTGGAAAAATCTATTGTCTTTTCATTCCACTTTTTCATGAACATATTGAAGCCCCCTCATATACTTTTGGATTTCTTATGCAGTTTGCAAAAGCCTTCTAAAGTCATTACTCTTTCATTATAGTATACTTATCTAGTCAAATTTAATCTTAAAAAGCACTTTAAAAAGCCTGGATAACAATTTAATATAGCACTGATTGATATTCTATAGTAGATTTCCCCCCCAGAGCTTTCCTTTCATTTGAGTTATAAACCTCCTAAAAATGTTGACACTCCCAACTTTCCAAGAAAAAAAAGTAAAAACTAGGAAAACAAAAGAAAAACTCTATTGTAAAGGCAACAAATAACAATTGTCCAAGTCTGTACCAAGTCAAGATTACTGTTCTATGCTCATTTTAATGTGAATAATGGCTATATTTGAAACTCTGATCACTTTATTAATACTAAAAGTTTACCTTTGAATTCTTGACAGGAAATACTATTTCTACAGGATGTTGTCAACTGACTAGGAAATTTATTTAGTCTGAACTTATGTTTAGTAAATTTTACTTGCTAAAATTAGCTACTCTAACAGCAAATTGTATTCATGGTCCAAAAAGTGTTAATATGCTTCTGTACAGGCCTTCCTATTTTATCAAGGAGCACTTAGAACTTTCAAAAATATCATTCACTAAGTAGTAAACATAGTCACAGTTCAATGTGAGCTCATTTTCTTTTCTTTGAGGAGATGGACAGGAGAATAAAGGATTTAAAGGAAGAAAAAGGAAAAAGTTACAAATATTCTTGTAAATTCAAGAGAAAGCTCAAGTTTTATGTTAGTCATTGTGTCATTTAAGTTACTGACCCAGTTAGCATTTTTAAAAGAATTTCTTAAACTGCTTGAATTACCCAATTGTAATTTTAGGGTTTCTCTATCTATTTTGGTCTTATGTTGCCTTTGTCTATAAATAATGACATGCTAAAACAGTCAGAAAATGAGGAAAAAACCTTCAAACTCTCTCTAGACTTCTACAGGCATATTTCTACTTAAGTGACATCTGGTGTGGTGCTTAGGATAAGCAATGGACTCCTAACTGCAAGGTCAGCAGTTTACACTCACCATTTGCTCCTTGGAACCAACTAGACAGCACTTAATAACAATATAAAGTGATGCTTATCTTCCTACAGATGATTTCCTTAATGAAGTATTTAGTAGGTTAGTTGTTGTTGTTATGTGCCGTGGAGTCGGTTCCAACTCACAGCGGCCCTGTACAGGGTTTCTGAGGCTATAAATCTTGATGGGAGCAGAAAGCCTCATCTTTCTCCCGCAGAACAGGTGGTAGTTTCGAACTGCTGACCTTAAGGTTCACATCCCAATTCGTAACCACTACGCTACCAGAGCTCCTTGTATTCATGTTAAATTCAGGCTTTTTGCACATCCTGGTTCTGGATAATTTAAAAAGCAAAAACGGGTCGTGTAAATTTCAAAAGGAAGTAACTTTCTAAGTGGAGAATCGGGCATGTCTATCATTGGCATCTTTGCATCTTTATGAGTAAGTGTGCCAAATGACGATTGTAAAAATTGCCAAAAATGTTTAAACCTAAACATATGGAAAAAATATGTGGAGTAAAACACACCCTAAATGGTACATGGTAGGAGCTTTGTACTTACCACAGTGACGTTGAAAGCGTACAGAAGATCAAAAGGCAATGCAGCAATCAAATCAATGATGAACCAAGTTGTGACATAGTGGATGCAAATTGATCTTGCTTCAAAGATAACTTGACCAGACTTGCTAACATAGGTTGTTCGGAAATTTAGAATAATATCTGCTTGGGAAAAAAAAAGAGAGAGAGAGAAAAGGAAGGAAGAGAGAGAAACCAACAAGAAAAGGAATGACAGACAAAAAATGAAGGAATGGAGGAAACAAGGGAGGGAGAAAGGAAGAATATTGAATTTTGTCTATTTATACATTTATTTATAAAACTAAATAAAAATAGATAAATGATCATCTTATTTATGGTTAATAACACTCAAAATGGTTCCCTTTAACAGATCCTTTCAACCCAAGAAATATGTATTGAGGAATAATGAAGAAAGCAATCTATTTGAGAGCTTAGTATTTCCCAGACTGTAAATAATTATAGCAATAATAACAATAATCACCACCTGGTAAATGTCCATTCTCTACCAGGCATTGTCCTAAAAATTTAGTATATCTTATTTCAGTTAATCCTCAAAGTATCTTCTGAAGTAGGCAGTATCATCCCCTGCCTAAAGCATCAGAAATGAAGTCTTAGAAAAGATGATTCTTGTAAAATCATATTGATAATATATAGTCAGAATTTTACAGAGATATAATTTGTCATTTATATTAATTATTTTATATGATACAAATTAATTCCAAGTATGAAAACAGGAATGTGACTTAAAGAACTAAGATGAGCCTGACTCAAGACATGGCATTTCAAATGCCTCATATACATACAAAAACTAGACAATAAACAATGAAGACAGAGGAAGAATTATCCATTTGTAATATGGTTGTGGAGTCCTGGTGTGGTGCTGTAGGTTAATGCACCAGACTACAAAGCCATTTAAACTGCAAGGTCAGTGGTTCAAGCTCACCAGCTGCTCCTTGGAAACCCTATACAGGGTTGCTGTGGGTCGGAATCGACTCGACAGCACTTGACAACATCAACAACAACAACAATATGGTGGTAGTAAAGAGTATTGAATATACCATGAAGAATGAACAAATCTGTTTTGGAGGTAGTATAGCCAGAATTCTCTTTAGAAGTGAGGAAGGTGAGACTTTGTCTCATTTACTTTGCACATATTATCTGAAGGAAACATTCCCTAGAAAAGGACATTGTGCTTGGTAAGGTAAAGGGTGAGCAAAAAATAGGGAGACCCTCCACAAGATGACCCAACATAGCACCAAAGGACTCAAACATATGAGATATTGTGAGGATGACTCAGGACAGCATCCATAGGGTCACTATGAATTGGAGTCAACTCAATGATACCTAACAAAAGCTTGAAATTTTTACTAATCTCTGCAAAGAAATGGTTCTGTCCCTGTTCAGAAGGCACTCCCATTAACAAAAGACCTGTAGCTGCTGTTCTATGATTTCTCAGTTAAATTTTACCATTGTATATTAACATATGATATATAATTGCTTTCAACCTCTCCCTACACATTCTTTTATCATATATTTATTTATTGAGACTCTAACAGTAGATGACAGCTTAGTGAGCACTGGTACAATGACAAAGTGATAGGCAGGTGGGTCGTCCTCAGCTCACTCCTGCTGCTTCTGAATAAAAAATGCTGAGACTGTAATTCTTGGGTTAAATATCATAGTTTGTTTTAGAATGGAGTACAACCAGGCCCTAGGGTGTTTCAGGATTGGTGCATCTATGAAAGGGTGATAAATGATGACTACAAAAGAAACAGATTTCTCTACAGAACTTTGTTCTTGGGTAGTGCAGTGGTTTGGTGAGGCAATAATCAGATGGAAGGCTGGAAGTAAATATAATAGTCCATAAGAATAAGAATTCAAGGAGTTATGAAGCTAACATTAAGTTCTGGTTGCATCATTGTCAGGTGAATTGAGATACTCTTTATCGAGATAAAGAATTTGTTGATCTCATATAATCATGATGACATCAGTAATAAAAATTACTTACCATAATGCTTAATTCCATTTGTATGCCATATTTAGTTTTCATTCCATGTTCATGTATATGGTAAGTAGAAATCAAAAATGATCCCCAGTGACCCTCACATTTACACAATCTCTTTCCCGTAAATGTGGACCAAATCTTTGTCTGTGATGAGATAACAGTCCTTAATCATATTATTTTATGTGACTAAAGAAAAATTATCTTGAATGATAAGAACTGAACATGGGAGCCCTTTAAAAGCACAGATTTTCTTTGGCTTGTGGCAAGATATTAGAAGTTAATGAGACATACTCCTGATGGCTTGGAGAAAAGTGATGGTTATGCTGTGAAGGTGGCCATGTGACAGGGAATAGTGGGCAGCCTATAGAAGCTGAGAGGGGCTCCTGGGTGAGAAAAAGGGACTCCAGTTCTACAACAACCAGAAAATAAAGTCTTCTAACCACCACAGAATTTAGAAAATTCTCATTTCCAGAAAGGAACATAGTCAAGCTACCCCTTGATTTCAGACTAGTGAAAGCCTAAGCAGAGAATTGTGCTAACCTGTACCTAGACTTCTGGCCTATAGTACCTCTGAAGTAATAAATAGCTGTTGTTTTAATCAGCTAAATTTGTGTTAATTTGTTATGCAGCATTTAAAACTGAAGACAATATTTATTATGCCATTTAGTTCTCATTACAGTTCTGGTGTGGCACTGTGGGCTAATGTCTCAGATTGCAAAGTCGTCTGAACTGCAACATCGGTGGTTCAAGCTCACCAGCTGCTCCTTGGAAACCCTATGCAGGGTCACTATGGGTTGGAATCGAGTCGACGGCACTTAACAACAACAACATAGTCTTATTAAGTGAGATTATATATGAATTATGCCAAAATAGATTACTATTATTCACAGATAACACAAATTCTTACTTGGGAGTCCTGATGTGGACAAGCACTGAACTGTTAATGGTGAGTCTGGTAATTTGCACCCACCAGTCTTTCCTTGGAAATCCTGTATAGGTTGTTATGAGAATAGACTTGACAGCACTTAATAACAACATGAACCCAGTACTGTTCTACTTAGTATTGTTGTTATTGAGTGCCATCACGTCAGTTCCTACTTATAGAGACCCAGTATAGTGTTTCTGGAGAGCAGCTAGTGGGTTTGAACCACCAATACTGTGGCTAGCAACCCAGTGCTTATCTTAATAAGTGCTTTATGATTTTAATTTCATTACTTACAGAGCTCTAGAAGGTATCATCCTCTTTTATAGATGAGAAAACAGAAGCGTAAAAGAGGTCAAATAACTTTTCCAGGGTGACTCAGATGATAGAACTGAAGCAGAGGATTAAATTACTAAGTTAGCTAGTGAAATATCAAAACTCAAATCCTAAATTCCTAAAGTCTCCTAAGATCCAATTCAGTATTTTGGATTTTGGTGATGTACCTGAAACCAGTAATGTCTCATATCTGGAAGCAAGCTCTGGATGACCCCAAAATTGTTCCAGTCTATTAATGAGTGATAATACTTCAAAAATTCATGCTTTTGCTTATATTTAGAAATATCCAGAGGCTTCTATTATTAATATTGAGAACATAAAGAGATGAAGCTAGTGGATAAACTACTCAAATGATAATTTCCATGGCAGAGTAAAAATGCTGTGTCATTGGGACATTGAAGCATCATTACCAGGAAGGAACCAGGGACACAGTGGAATGCCATCACGCTGCTTTGGTAGCATGTGAACTTGTCATCAGATTTATCTGTTAGTAGAATATTTTGACAAGCGCAGGGAACCAGCTGTTGAATTAAATGGGGATTCAACATCATGGTGTCCATAAAAAAGTTCAGGTTAGGCATCCAGATGCCCATTTTCTGAGGAGGGAGTCAAAACACTAGTTTTAAAAATCCCTTAGTGATTTTTGGTTACTACAATAGATGCTTATATAAGTTAAATTCAATCTTAAGTTTAGGGGGGAGTGGAATTTCATGTGCCTTTCCTAATTGACACCATCAAGTCTCTCCCACACATCTGTCAGTCTCTAATGCTGTGGTGGCTTGCTGTGATGCTGGAGCTTAGCCACCGATATTTCAAATACCATCAGGGTCACCCATGGTGGACAGGATTCAGTGGAACTTCTAGACTAAGAAAAGAATAGAAGAAGGAATAGGACATCAACTTCTGAGGGATTGGTCCCTGAAAACCTTGTGAATAACAACTAAAAATGTTCTATTACAGTGCCAGAAGAGGAGTCTCTCATGTTGGAAGGAACTTAATATATAACTAGAGAAGAGCTGTCTCCTCAAAGTAGAGTTAACCTTAATAACATGGATGGAGCAAACCTTTTGAGATTTTCATTTGCTGATGGACCATGACCCAAAATAAGAAGAAATAGCTGCAAACATCTACTGATAATTGAAACATGGAATGTATGAGGTATGATTCCAGGAAAATTGGAAGTTGTCAAAAACGATATGGAATACATAAAAATCAATATCCTAGGCCTTATTGTTGTTACATACTGTTGAGTTAGTTCCAGCTCATAGAGACCCTACATAGAGTTTCCAAGGAATGTCTGGTGGGTTTGAACAGTCAACCTGTAGTTGCAGTCCAGTGTTTATCATATAGTACCACACCAGGACTCTATCCTAGGCATTAGTGAGATGAAATGGACTGGAATTGGCTATTTTGAATCAGATAATCACATGGTTAGTATTCCAGGAGTGAAAAATTGAAGAGAAATGCAGTCACATTCATCACTGAAAAGAATATTTCACGATCCATCTAAAAATGCAATGCTGTCTGTGAAAGTACGATATGTATATGCCAACAAATAAGACCTGCTAATACAACATCATTCAAATTTATGCACCAACCACAGAGATTAAGAAACTGAAGAATTCTACAAACTTCTTTGAGGAATACTGTGGCTCAGTAGGGTAAGCACTGAAATGTTAACCACAAGATTGGCAGGTTCAAGCCCAGCAACTGCTCCCTGGAGAAAGATGAGGCTTTCTGTTCCTGCAAAGATTTACAAGACTCAGAAACTCTATGCAGTGCAGTTACAGGTCAGAACCATCTCTATAACACTTAACCACAGCAACAACATCTGATTTCTTCAGTCTGAAATTGATCAAACATACAATCAAGATGAACTGA